CGGCGGGAGCGCCACCGCGCTCCCAAGTGGCGCACTGTAGCAGTGCGCCACCGGGCCGGCCCTAAAAGCACTTTTAATATTATAACATAGCTATACAATTTCCTTGCTTTGTTATGTACTTAAATTGGTCTTTGGCTTTTTAAAATTGATTTTTAGGGCCAAGCCCATGGCGCACTCGGGAGAGTGCGGCGCTGGGAGCGCAGCAGCGCTTCCGCCGCAGGTTCGGATCCTATATAGGGATGACCAGTGCGCTCACAGTGCTCGCTGGCTGAGCGCGGTGCGGCCGGTCTCAAAAAGGACAAAAAAAATTGATTTTTAAGGTTTCTTTGTGGCTTTCTTTTTTTTTCTTTTTTCTTTTTTTTTTTTTTTTTTGCTTCCTACACATGTCTAAAAAGTGAAATTAAGTGGTTGGTCCTTGCTAAAGGGTACCAAATTTAAGGGGATACATGTTAAACACAGTAAAATAAGCACTACTGAATCTGTTTTGAAGGTTGTAAGTTTGACTTACCTGTAATATGAGGTAGCTGAATTCATCTATGTCAGTCTTTCCATTTACTTTTAAATTCTTACCACAAAGATTTTCAGTCATTCGTAGCTAAAACTCTAAGAACTTGTCCTTTCTCTTTTGCATTTAACCATTAAACATAAGACAGTTCTAAGGATACTCATCAGAAGTTTCCTTAGGATTTTACAAAATTCTGCATAGAGAAATGGCAGAAAACAAATACTATTGACTCCCTAAGTGTAACAGAGCATGAGATTTCAGGTGCATGGCAGATACTGGCTATAACTGTATGAAGCTGGGTAGTGGCAGGTGGAGGATTTGAAGTAGACAGCAAATTGGCTTACTACCTTCTTATTTTCCCCTTCCCCAGTTTCATTATTACTTCATTCATTTATTTGACTATATATTGTACTTCTAATAATTGCCTAGCATTGTCCTAAGTGCCAGAGAAATATGACTTTTCCTCAAGGAGTTTAACATATAGTGAGGGTTAAAGAATAGTAAATAGGAAATTACCTTAAAGTGTGATAAATGATAAAGGGTACTTGGAAGCTCAAAAGGAGGGACATCTAAACCAGATTTCAAGAGTGGAATCAGAAAAGGCTCCCTGAAGGAAGTGCCATCCAAACTGAGACCTAAAGGATGAGCAGGAATTAAGCAAGAAAAATTAATTGGGGAAATAGAGAGATGGAGTCTTCAGTATTCCTGAAGAAAGCAACAGCATGTGCAAAGTATAGGGGGTCAAGAGACCGAGGTGAGTTCCAAAAGTAATAGTTATAAGCCAAATGAAAGCAGTTCAAGGTGGACACAGTAAAGTTGTGAGTGGTAAGGCTGGAAAGGTAAGCATTAACTGTCTCATATAGGAATCCAAAGTCATGTTAACGTGCTTGGTCTGTACCCTATGACAATGCAAATCCAACTACTATAGGATAAGAAGAAAAAGAAGTATTTTAAAACCTATTGTAAGAATCACTTTATATATACCAATTATGATAACATCCTCTCTTCACTTATATTAAGGATATGTGCCTCAGATATTATTTTTGTATTTAATGGTTTTTCATTAAGGTGCCCAGTTTTTAGCTTTTACAATTGTCAGTCTTGAAAGCAGTCTGAAACATACTTTTGAAAGAATCCGTATAAGATTGTATATAAAACTGATCATTCCTTTCAAGTTCTATATTAGGTAACTACAAAAAGACAAATTGTTTCTTAGCTCACCCATCTTTTTTTTTAACTAGAAAATATCTTGAACAAAATAGCTAATTGGTAATATGTTGCACATTCATAATGTTCTTCAAACTAGGTAACAGAGGCAAGTAACTAACACTTGAGTAGAAAGATTACTAGCATTCTTGATTACCTCTGGCTCATCTTGGTTTGCCAGCCAAAGATAAGAGGAGATAGGTTTAGTTTTTGGTTTTGGTTTTTGCCACAAATTTTCATTAACATATATGCACATAAGGTATTGTAAGATGTTTGTAGCTGTTTTTTTGAGGCAAACTATTTTGTGAAACCAGATGTTTGCTGATCTTCACATGGAATCATTGCAGAATCAGACCCATAGATCTGTTTTCTAATTTAGTAAAAATTATTTTTGTCTGCTTCTGGTAATTATCCCAACTGACTAATTTCTGACATATATTTATTTTCTTTGCTGCCATCAAATTGAAGTTGCTGTTGTAACTGAGGAACAAAAGTGGCAGGTAGTTGGAATATCTATCAGTATTTGAAAGATTGTATCTTAGAAGGCAAGGGAACAATATAAAATGATATTGCTCAATTTTAAGAAAATCTTAATTGTTTTAAAAGAGAGATAGGCGGGGCCGGCCCGGTGGCGCACTAGAGAGTGCGCCGCCTGGGAGCACGTGGCGGCGCTCCCGCCGAGGGTTCGGATCCCATGTGGAGACCGGTTCCCGCTCACTGGCTGAGCGTGGTGCGGGCGCAACACCGAGGGTTGCGATCCCGTTGCCGGTCCCCGGTACGGGCGCAACACCGAGGGTTGCGATCCCGTTACCGGTCAGTAAAAAAAAGACAAAAAAAAGAAAAAAATTAAATAAATAAAAATAAAAAAAAATAAAAGAGAGATAGATGATTTTATTGTCAACTTAAATAAGTACAAGTGAGAAAAACAATTACAGTAGGGCAATATAAAACAAATTTATTTATAAAATTGGTTGATACATTAATATGAGTCACTTTCTAATTTATGAGATAGTTGTGGAACTGGTGAAGCTTATTGGTTTTGTTTTGAAATTAAATGGAGGTAAGCTAAGCCCAAATTCTGATCTCTTCTTTAATTACATGAGCATATAGATTGATGATGAATCTACAGAGCCTTTCTACTACTTATTCTAAGAATATTCTACTGTTCTTCAGAGGAAGAAGCTGCTCCAGATGATGCTGTTGCAGAATACAGAAGAGAGAAGCAGAAGTATGAAGCTTTGAGGAAGCAAAAGGCAAAGAAGGGAACTTCCAGGGAAGACCAGGTAACTTCAAAAACCAAAACCCATAAATTATTTATTGCCTTTTTATTGTCTTCAAATGTTGCTAAATGTAGCCAAATTTGATTATATATCAGGAGAAGCACTGCCACTTAAAAATGAAAAAGGTTATATTTATATAGGATGCAGCACCAAGTACCTTGGCCACTCTTGTAAAGGTCCTAATTCTAGACTTCTTAACAGACATTTTAGGCAAAAAAGCCTGAAACTTTCAAGTTTCAACTTGGTGCTCCCATGTCAAGCATAGGAACCTTGTAAAGCCATATAGCCTCAAAGACTCAGGTAGAACCTTTGTCTAAGTGAATACTGTATTATGAAACAGAGACGTAGTGATTGTAAATGACAAGAGGATCTCTCCCAGCCCAGCATCGCACATGCTGACCAGCCAGCTTGACTTGAAATTGTACACTGCCTGGAAATAAAGCATTTGGTCTACTAGTTGACTTCCACTGTATTAGAACTCTGTTTATTGCAAGTAATTCCTGAATCTATAGGGAGTAATATGAGCAAATCCTCAGAAATCAAGAATGAACAGAGATAGGAAGGTAGCTCAACAATTTGGGAGTCAGCTGTATATACACCATGCAGTTGGTACTTGATAAAACAAATTTCTTAAAAGCTCTGCATGTTGAAAAGCTAGGGGGCAGACTGAAAGCATTTATTTTTGGTGCTGCCAAATATATATATGAGGATATGCCATTTTAGGCATATAAATAAAACAAGCAAAATAAAAGTAAATTTAAAAGCCAAAGCATTTTTGGGTAGGTAAGTTAATCGGGGACTGTATTATAAATGACAACTAATTTCTGGTAATGAAAGATCATGCATCAGTATTTAGTGTGAAAATAATCATAGGGAATGTTGAACAGAATGTCAGTTATAGGAAATTGTAATTACAGAAAGCTAATTTATATGCAGCTTTCAAAAGAAATGGCACATGAAATGAAAAGAAGAAAAAGTACATCACTAACTTGTTTTTGTGGAGTCACAAAGTCTTCTGAATAGCAACCGCAGTGACTATACTACCAAAGATCTAAGGATCACTCTCACCCATGCGTTCCTTTTTTCCCCCCTTTTAGCAAATAGTTATTAAAAACCTAGCATGTACTAATCACTGTGTTTGGTGGTCAACAGGTAGGCACATCCCTGCCCTCTCTGAGCTGTCAGGGAAAAGAGAGAGTTAAAAAAAAGTAATACCAATAAAAAAGGGGTGAGCATTATGAAAGGGTAGGTACAGGAAACTATGTAAATATATAACAGCAGGACCTAACATGGCCTAAGAATCTAGGAAGGCCTCCCTGAGAAAATGATTTGTCAGCTGAGCTTTGAAGGATATCATGGGTTGAATGTCCCCCCAAAGTTTAATTCCCACTGTAACTGTTGAGGGTGGGAAATCATATTATGGTAGTTGAAAGGTGTGGCCTTGAAGACGTGATTAGATTGTAGGACCATGCCATAATGAATGGATTAAAAATGGTGGTCAGGGGCGTGGTTCTGAGGGCTTTAAAAGAAGAGCAAATGAGAGGTTAACCTCTCTCTGCTTCACCGTTTTCTGACATGTGAGACCCCTAGGTCACTGCTGCCACCACCAAGGCCCTCACTAGCCATGTTCCCTGTTCTTTGGACTTCCCAGCCTATGAAACCGTAAGCAATAGATTTTATTTTCTTACAAATTACCCAGTTCCAGGTATTTTGCTGTAAGCAATAGGAACGGACTAATACAGTTGAATAAGCAATAGCTAGGTGAAGTGGAGGCTAGTTGGGAGACTTTTGTGTAGATATACATGAACAAAGTCTGCCAAGGCTGGGTACCTTCAGAATAGCATCTCCACACTAGTAAGGCTCTCACTGTGCTGAAGACCCATGCTGTACATGGTTGGCTATTCATTCTTTCAGCAAAAGCCAGAAGACTTGAGTGATTCCCCTGCAGATGCCGAATAGAAATTCCTCCCTACTGATCCTACCTTCTTCACCCTGTAATGTGCCCCATTGTTTTTGTGATGTTTTCTTTTCTGCCCAGTGTCTTCTCTTACCTTTAGTATGCAGCTAGAAAAAAGTCCAATCTTTCATATAGGAGAAGCTAAGAAAGGCCAAGAGGATGTTTTTTGTTTGTCACAGTCCCCTTCTTTGAGTAAATGCCAGTAGAAAATTCATTCCACTGAGAAGTCTTTGTTTTCATTGTTCTTTATGCCCTAAGAAAAGACATTTCCAAGTATACAAAAGTCCACCATTAAAAATTGATAGGGTTTACTTTTAGGCTATAGATTAGATAGATACATAGATATAAAGATATGTGTATGAAGGTATATATTTACATAATGTAGATGTAGATATATAAGTGCACACACACGCACACCACTGAAAGATATATGTCAAAATGTTAACAATGGGTATCTTGAGTAGTGGGATAATAGTTATTGTTGTTTTGCTTCTATTTTTCAGTATTTCTGCAGTAACCTTTTTTATGATAAAGCAAATACAATAAAAGCTTATAAATAATAGGAGTGTAATGTTCTTTTTTTTTTAAATGAATAGCCTTCAGAATGCCTATGATGATATTCTATAGGAATTTATAAATTTCCTCCCAGACTCATCTCATTTAGCAGCTATGGTAATTTGTATATTTTCTGCTATTGTCTATGTGGGCATTAAATTTTGCAGAAATGTGTCAGGTACTTTTTCGTTATCATTTTTAGCGATGACTGCCTTTGTTTATTGCAGTTATTTTGCCACCACTTGTCTTTATTTGAGCTTATTTTCTAGACTGCCAGAACCTACCTTATTTTTTCGTGAACTGTGGTCTTAATGATATTTTCTGTATAAATTCTGGAGCCGAGGAATTTACAGTGACTCCTTATTATACCTATTATTCACATGTTGCACTACTACATACCCTTTTCCTTATGAAATGTGAGGATTTTATTATTGAATTCAACATATCAAAATCTTGATTAGGTCCTTGATTTTTCAAACAGGTAGTACTTTATCCCATTTCATAATGATGTACTCTTTAAAAATGTAGAATAGAATTTTTTTTTTTTTTTAAAGATGACTGGTAAGGGGATCTCAACCCTTGGCTTGGTGTTGTCAGCACCATGCTCAGCCAGTGAGCAAACCAGCCATCCCTATACAGGATCCAAACCCGTGGCCTTGGTGTTATCAGCACCGCACTCTCCCGAGTGAGCCACGGGCCGGCCTGAATAGAAAATTTTTTTAGCTTGTGTTCTCTGTGCAAATTCTGGAGGAGACTATGAAGGTATAGCCAAGAAACAATGTGATTGCAAAATTGTAGCCACTTGTTGCTTCTTCTTGCCCACAAAGGGCATGGGAGCCAAATAAGAATTTAGAGTAATGTCATAACCCCCCTTTTTTTAACATACTCAACATGTTTGTATCTCCTTCTTTTACTTAACAATAGAATGCAATGCTTTATGTATGTAGCTTTTAGTAACAGTATAATAGCATATTCTTTGTTTTTTACCAAATTTATCCATTTCCTTATTGACAGACATTTAACTTTTCCATTTTTCCATTTGTAGAAATACTGCTGTGATGCACATCTTGTTCATAAGCCATTTTCTATGTTTCAGATTGTTTTTCTAGAATATATTCCCAGGATTGGAATTACTGAATCAGAGTGGATGATAATCTTAAAGTTTCTGCTACATATCAACAGCTTTCTAAAGATGTTATTCCAATTAACCCATCTCCCAAGAGTTAATGTGTACATTCATTCTACCTTCCCAACATTGATATTTTTACATTTTTGGAAATTTGTTACATGAAAAATAGCATTTGTTGTTGGTGTTTTATTTTTGATTCCACATATTGTGGTGAATTCCATCCCTGTCTTGTAGACATTTAAGAAGTTAACTTTTTTTTTTTTTAAGATGACTGGTAAAGGGATCTTAACCTTTGACTTGGTGTTGTCAGCACCACGCTCTCACAAGTGAGCCACAGGCCAGCCCTAAAAAGTTAACTATTCATAAGCATTTATTTTTAAAGCCGAAATGTCTTCTACATAAGTAAATTTATGTTCCCAAAATCAGAAAGTGGCCAACCATCTTTGAGGAAAAGTATCAGTGCAAAGCCAACAGGATATTGTAAAGGTTTAATAATATCACTGTTGAAGGCAGTTTTGTTATTTTCCTTTAAGATAAACATTTATTTATCTAAGTGTTTACGTCCAAGTAGGAATTTTCTTTTCTATCAAATTTAAGTGTGTCTTTTAAAATTATAGTTATCTTTATCCAAAAATTTAGCAGTCTAATTGTTATTTCAGACCCTTGCGCTGCTGAACCAGTTTAAATCTAAACTCACTCAAGCAATTGCTGAAACTCCTGAAAATGACATTTCTGAAACAGAAGTAGAAGATGATGAAGGATGGTAAGGGCTTTGGTTTCTTTTATATTAACCATGAACAAATAAGCTCAGAACAGAGACACTACTGAGACATTTCCACAGTATCATCCCCCTTTTTTTTTTCAGGCTTTACTATCATTATAGGACCTCAGTACCCTTTTACTTTATTTCAGTTCAGTATAAAATGAAATAAATAAACACACCAAACACTCAATAAACAAGCATTTATTGAGTGCTGAGGTGTGTTCCCAGTATTGTACCAGCAAGTGGAAAATGCACAAGAAATGTATGACACTATCTCTGTTCTTAGGTAACTTTCTAATATTGTGGAAAAGATAAGACACATTAAACAACTAGAAAACAACCTGAAAAGACAATAAATCAATAATTTTTTCCAGTTTCCCACAAATGTTTTAGAACTCAGTAATCCATTTCATAATCCTATTAACTTCCTTTTCAGATTTATGATCTATGGGATCCTAGCAACACATACATAGTTAATTTTATTTTTATCCTTGGATATTGTTCAGCTTTTTAAGGCACTGATAAGAAATAAAGAAATTAATGATGTACAGTCCTGTGCTTAGAACTTTATCCTATATTGGCAAAAAAAATAAGAAGAAGAAGAATTGTGTTTTCCCTTATCACACCCCGCTGTCCTCAAGTTGACTTCACATGCAGTATATTAGGCCTCCCCACACCTAACTGCCTCCACCTCCCACTACACCCTGGCTCAGGCACACTGCTGAAGGCAAGCCAGTGTGTCACCCCCCACACATGACTCACCCTCTGGAGCCTCTGAACCACCACATGTGCCAAACAGCATCTCCCCTATTTCAAAACTCTGTTCAACACTCCCATCCTCCAGGAAACCAGTCAGCAAGATTTGTTGAGCACTCACAAATTTAGAGGGTGGAGGAAGGAGGGCTGGGACACACATTAAAAAAGACATAAAAACCCTTATTAAGAAAACATTTAAACAAGTACCACTCTGCAACTGTATAAAACTTTAATCAAAAGGGCTGAGATTTGATGATGATTTGAATGGAATGAATTCTACCTAACCTAGGACCCTGAAAATGCTTGAATATTTCTCAATTAACTTATGGTTTCCATATGACCTGGGTTATGCTGCCAATTTTTGTATAATCCTAGATGGCTTTTAATAGGTTTCTATTACTTATATATTTGTTTATACTTAAATTCAAAGTTGCTTGAAGGCAGAAGCTGGCTTCTCCCATAGTCCTGTGCCAAAGGCAAAGGCTCAGTGAGTGTTGATTGACCCATAGAGATAAATGCACATTGCACAGAAGAACTTTCTGTTTTTTATATGACTGGACAGGTTTAGTTTTATTTTGGATTCCTTGAATGTCTCAAAATATCTTTCAAATGTTTTGGGTTCAGCCACCACACAAAAAAAAATGTTTTGCCAAGTCCTCTTCCCCTTATTTTTGAATCCATATGCATTTTTTAGGGAAATATGACCCATGTGTTTCTGATTCATTTACACTTAACTCATCAAGATGGAGTTTGGTAAGAGCAGTTTGATGCCCAATAAGTTTTTTTAACCTTTTTATAAGCCATTTAAGTCCTTTTTTATTGAACAGGAAAGTCACCAACAAATTCAAACCCCAGAAGTTTCATTTGAAACTCATAACCCACAGTATTCAAGTTTACTTTCAACTTGGCAAGACCATTTTACTTCCAAAGGTTCTTCCTAGCCCCTTGGTTCAGTGTTCTCCCATTGTGAATTCTTCTTTAGCTTCAAATATCAATTGTGTTTTTTTTAAGTGTCATTCTTGGTTTTGATGTGATTTGATAATCTAATCAATGTTCTATCTTAACATCCTTATTAGAAAGTTAAAGAAATGCGGGAACTTCACCAGACAGGGAGGCAAAAATTACTGGTCAGTGATGTTGGCTAATTCTCCATTTGGAGGAAGAAATAATTGGTGAAGGAGGAGGCAATAAGTTAAAGGAACCATTAGCAGGTCTTCAGGGGGTTTATTTCTGCTTTCAACTGCAGTCTCCTAACAGAAAGTCAAAGCTGTACACTATGTACCTCCACAATTTTTTTGGTATTTCTTTCATCTAGCATGTAATAAAAATACCTAGTGTTCAAGGTACTATGCAGAATCATATAGAATACATAGGGCCACACATATACCATTTTATTGCAATATAGACCATTGAATTTTTGTACCCTGATAAGCGACATCATTTCTGTTCATAAATAAACCAGTTCAGCTTAATCAAGTCTCTGGTGATTTAGACCCTCTCTCATAAAGTATATTCTACCCAGGAAAGGAGTCTTGTATTCAAAATGATTTATAGCAAGTATTATGAGTGCATGGCATGTGCATGTGTGTTATGCATAAATTACGTGGTTCCCAGACTATTTTGTAGGTCACGGTTGCCGCTTTTCTAAGAAGTGAAAGTCAGCCAATGTGCTGTACTACACTGTCAGGGTCTGTTATCTGAGGTAAAATGATTGCTCTTAAGACATTTTTATGTGTCCACATGAGTGGCCACACATTGAGGGATCATTTTCATTTTCTGTCAAGATAGAAACCATTACCAATTTGTTATGTTTTCTTTTACTTGGCAAACTATTCTATTCGCATTTTTGGCTAAGCTGCTGTATTGGCATGGTATACAACAGACACTTGGGTACCATTCAGCAGCATTCTACTTTTTATGCAAAAAAAATAAAAAATAAAAAGTGGGAGAGAGAAAGAAAAGAAATATGATTCTATTGTAAACAGTGTATATGGTGTTTGATAATTATTCCCAGATTTCACTGTCTAACAAGGCATTTAAAGAAGTGTTATTGCTATATCTAAGCTGAAATGCATGAGAGAAATTTTTCACACAGAGTTACTAGGATTCTTCCTTTGCTTAGATACATACCACCAATATTGGGTGGCAGTGATGGCACCAGATTCCAGTTTAGCAGCTAGAATAGTCTCTTTGCCATTATATTCCTTAGTCTCACAGCATCACAGACTCACACAGCTATAGAACCATTGTCAAGCATGGATTTTATATCACCAGTTAGATACATGGCAGGAGGCATGTGACCAAAGGATAAGACCATGTGGGTGAAGTCCATATGCCAGTTTAGGTTTGGTTAGGTAAAGCTTAGTTAACCCTCAAAAACAATTTTTGAGAAAGCTGTATCTCACGAGACAGTGGAGAGAATTATAAAAAAGAAAGCCACCTGCTCCTTACACAACAAAATTGGCATTCCAAGGAGAGGAAAAAAACTAAATCAACGAGAGTAGACTGAGATCTTGTGAACATTAACTATTCACTACTATGTTCTATTGAAGATTTATTTCCACATTGTTAAATCTAAGATTAACTTAAAACTTTGCAACAAATGTACTTGATAAAATAATAAACAATGTAATGGTCTTTGTGCTTTCTTCCCTCTTTCTCTTCTCTCTCTCCCCCCTCCACCACTTTCCTCCATAGTACATACAGTATTCAGTATTATAAAAATTTGAAAAGCACTAAAAGTTGCATGATTGCCTCAAGTAAATATTTTAATGATCATTATATAAGTAAAAGATATTCACTATAGAAAAATCAGAATACAGGCTCCTTCAAAAGAAGTAAATAAAAGACACCTGTGATCTCAAACTCAAAGATAAATACTATTAATTTATTCATTTATACTACTTACACTAAATATGTAAAAGTATATATGTATACTATTAATTTATACATATTAATTTATACCCTTCCAGATATTTCTATGCACATACATATTTTAAGCAGACTACAGTTTTATAACTTGCTTTTTTCCCTCAGCAATATGTAGTGACTACTTCTCCTTGCATATATAACTTTATGATATAATTTTTATATTTTGTATCATGGCCATGTAGTATTGCATTATATGATGAACCACAAATTTACTTGACCATTTGGTTGGACATTTAGGCTCTTCTCAGTTTTTATGATTACAAACAATGCTGTAATAAACATCCTTGTATCTATGTCATTGCCCATTTTCTCAGGATAAATTTCTAAAACTGGAATTGCTTAGTCAGTCAGTGTGCATGTTAGGCTTATAAATATTTTCAAATGGCTCTCCCAAAATGTCATTCCAATTTATACTCCCAAGTAAATATCATTTAAGACTTGCTTTAAGGCCTGTTAGAATCTCAAGGATTAATTAAGGTTATTTGCAGCGCTTAGTGAAAGAAAATAACATTTTAAAAGAAATGCTTTGCCTTTGTAAATTTTTAAAAAATACAAATAAAGTCTGGTTTGTTTCTATTTTTAATAAAACTGTACACGTTTCAACATAGCTTCTCTTCTTGGGAACCTCATCTCTAAGTAATCTTGTTCTTGTTTCTGAAAAATTCTCCTTCTAAAATAATCCTATGGGTTAGAACTTCTAGATCTGGATTTTTTTATTTTTTCAGTTTTATTACTGTACCTCGACTTATATTAAAAATCAGTTTTATCCATCAGTCAGACAGTTTGTTTCTGCTAGATACTGAAGTTCTGAGAACCAAGACCAGCCTTGAAGAAGTTTTAAAGCCTTCCTCTGGAGTTAGCATAGTGCAGAAACAACAAGCACTATTTGTCTGAGTATCTAAAACAGTGAAATTTTAATAATGCAGATATAAGATATATATATATATATATATATATATATATATATATATTATTGACTTTTAGACCCAGTCAGACCTCAAAATAAGATACCATTAAAAATATAGCTTCATCTCATTGCTCATACTAGCAAAGCTTTAAACACCTTTTATTTGTAATATGTACTATATAATTTGTGTAATTCAGTCATGTATTGAGTGATGGGTGCAATGACAACAAATGAGTATTTTATATATAATATATATATATATATATATATATATATATATATATATATATTATTGACTTTTAGACCCAGTCAGACCTCAAAATAAGATACCATTAAAAATATAGCTTCATCTCATTGCTCATACTAGCAAAGCTTTAAACACCTTTTATTTGTAATATGTACTATA